CAGACAAGGCTGTATACTCTCCCCATTCCTCTTCCTTCTAGTGATTGACTGGATTATGAAGAATTCGACATCTGAAGAGAAATATGGAATGCAATGGACTTCTCAGAATCAATTAGATTATTTGGACTTCGCAGATGACCTAGCCCTCCTCTCTCATACACACGAACAAATGCAGATGAAGACAACAAATGTAGGAGCAGCCTCCACATCGATAGACCTCTACATTCACAAAGGAAAAAGCAAGATTCTCAAATGCAACACGGAGAACACCAACCCAATCACACTTGATGGTGAAACTCTGGAAGAGGTGGAAACATTCACGTACCTGGGGAGCATCGTTGATAAACAAGGAGGATCGGATGCAGATGTAAATGCGAGGATTGGCAAAGCAAGGGCAGCATTTCTACAGTTGAAGAACATAGGGAACACAAAACAACTCTCAACCAATTTCAAGGTCAGAATCTTTAATACGAACGTCAAGACAGTCCTACTGTATGGAGCTGAAACGTGGAGAACTACTACGACCATCATCAGGAAGGTACAAGTATTTATAAACAGTTGTCTACGCAAAATACTCAACATCCATTGGCCGGATACTACTAAGACCAATACCAACCTTTACCTCCATAATATTCGATCAGCACTAAGAAGGACTCGACACGCATGACATTGATCACCACGTAGTGATCAACCAATTGCGAATACATCTCAGTCCTACAGGAGGTCGATCGTGACCCCAATAGCTTAGTGGTAACGTCTCATACTGTGAAGCTGAGTGACAAGGGATCGAATCCGTCAGGGAGCACCCCTTCACTCAAGATAACAGGTACACCTTGCTGAAGAGTGCCAAGTCGCACGAAAACCGGGTGCAGGGTTTCCTGTTGACCACCTCCAACCACAATCTTACCCCGAAAAATTATTCACCTACGTCGTTTACTCAGAATAAGATAGTTTCAAATATGAATTGGGTAAACAAACAAATTAGAAGTGCAATGACCACATATATTGTTGGATCATAACGAACATCCATTCACATCCACAATTATGTTACTGACTTACAATGATCTATAGATTCAAGAGCTTGTGTTGACTAACACTGATTCGAACACTTACGTGACTCAAGCATACTTACTTACTTTACTTACTTACGCCTGTTACTCCCAATGGAGCATAGGCCGCCGACCAGCTTTCTCCAACCCACTTTGTCCTGGGCGACTCAAGCATAGGTCGTTGTAATATCACTTGACATATTGTTTGTATTCATAAATAATTCAGTCATTTACATTTGTAAAATATGTGTACTCATTTGTGAAAGCTTGTCTATATCGACCTTGTCCGTCTGAACTAAATGAGCAGTGATACAAAATTCAATAAGCAATACGGTACAAACCATTTTCATACGTCTGCATGGTCATCTGACGTTACATGAATGTATGAAACAGTTTTTCAGATAAATTTCGTAATTGACTTCTACATACCACCGTTGTACAGTTGGGGTGAGCCAAAGTACTTTCTAGGGAACATAATTCATTTCATTTTCATCAATTATAGTTCGCATTGTGCTTACAATTGCACGTTCTGTGTTTGAAACAAATCATCTACAACGTTGTTCCATTGTTAGATTGGTTGTGTTTTACGGAACTACTTCGTTTCTAGGAAAATTGTTTTCCTCTCATTCGTTTCAGCCGTCAACAAAGAGGTACACAACTAAAATCAACCGAAAAATCATTATCATCCTACACTGATAATCAACGGGTACTTGGAAATGATGTACACGTGATCGTTGATCAGATGCCGATGGATATGAAATTAAAAATTACAAATGAGTTCAGAAGACTAATCACAGATAAAGATGATTTCAATGGATTAAAATTAACAGAATATATGATGCAGTTTATGAATAAAAATTTCTCTTCATCTTGGGTTGTGCTAATTGTCAAAGGATCATATTCAACTACATTTTTGCATCTTGAGGATTGTTCATTTCAATTTCGTTTGAATAATTACAGTTTTGTTGTTTGGAAAACATTTTTTGGATTTAATTAGGTTTTAGTTTTATTTCACACAGTTATAACATTAGTAAGTAATGAGATACTGTTGTTATAATTTCTGAAAATAAAGTGTATATTCAATTTGCTTAATATGACCAATAAATTATCTTCGGTTCTGGCCTAATTTGAGTTCGTCAGTTTCTACTACTGGTGTATGCTGTTTTAGTATGCGCGCTGAAACCAGGTAACTTGGGTGAGATAAACAAGAGTGAGTAGAAAGCTTCTATTGTGTAACCGGGTGGAAAACATATTCATATCCCATTAGTAATTTTAGATATGTATTTCGCTAAACGGGATCGTGAAACAAACCTTACGTCTGTCATTATCTCTCACTTATGTTTGGACGGATTAACCAACCGTATGGAGTTCACAGGACTAAATTTCCACTTGAACACTGCAAACACCTTACCCAGTGATATATTAATTATTCAAATTTCTATACATTTGTCTTCATTGATAATTTATATTTTGAGATTTACAAAAAGAGTTCCTAATGAATTGCCCATGTATGCGAATTCGCAATCAACGAAATTGTAGATATTCAAATGAACAGTGAAAAATCAGATTTCCTAATTTCAATTTTACCATATATTGATTCCCTTTGAAGTGATAGTGGAAGAGTCGAACTATGAAAACTAGTCATTGGTTTCTAATGAATCCGTAACAGTGAGCATCATCAGTTCAAAATCATATCAATGTCCATCATCACAAAAATCTTACTAAATACAAGTGGTCAGCGTTCACATCCACTTCTTCAAGTACAATATAAGCAACCGAATCCGATCAGTTGTATTCTATATCACAGTTGATGTTGACAGATAGTCCAGAAATCGCTTTCGAGTAAAGCATTGAAACACAGATAGGGAAAAGTGAGAACGGCGCTCTTACAAATATTACTGAACATCTAATCTTGATCCAGTAGAAATTAGAGTCGGTTCTCATCAACTATCACTTATAAATCACTGTTTGAGAAAAATATTCAGACCTGTTAATGGAATGTTTATATCAGAAACCGTATCAAAACCTTTCCCGTTAGAACATGTGTTGTTCAAGCACACATGCACTGATTCGCATACATTTCACCAGGTATTAGTGATCACGTTAATAAGGAAAGTAATTGTCAGAGAATTTCAGTTGTTCACTAGATTGCCCTAAGTCGAAACACTTGTATATGTTACTTGTGAGCTGAAATAGTAGGTTTTTCGGGTGCATGTTGAAAACAGTAATTTAAATCACAACTCATATATTTGTGATAATTTATCATGATCAAATGACGTTATTATTTATAAGTGGGTAACTACTCGTGCTTCTTTGAAGTCTGTGTATTGATCAGTACCGAATCATTGAGAAGATAACATGTGGATATTAATCAACATATATCTTTGTGTAGTGATGTTTACACACATGATATCGATTACAGATGTTGCTGATTTCAATTTATTTAGCCTATATTGCAACTTCGGTTTCTTTGTTCCAATGAAACTGAAGTGTTGATAAAAGTATCAGGTGAGTTTTGGTAGGTTATATGTTTGATTAATTATTCGACATAATTAGGGATTATAAAAATTGTTCTGGATTTTTAAAAAGATTTATGGTGCATCGATTGAATTCAGGAATTACTAACTTTGTTCAATCTCAATTAGTTTAGTTTTGATTACTCACACACATGACGTAGACATCACACCACTAAATTATGATGATTCGTCAATTAAAAACAAAGCTGAATGAAATCTTATTCGATAATCACATAGGAGTTCTAAGAAAATTTGGAAGTAAACGGATGTGTAACTTCTCAACTATTCACTTCACCAGGAATCCGTAACACACTGGATACTGTTTAGTTATCTTGTGGATAATGCGGTTTATCTTTATCAATTGGTTGTTCTTAAATGCATAAACGAGCTCCTCCAATCGATCGTAAGACAATTCAGTGAGTACTATTTCTGAGAGAGAGATATATGGTCCATCGATTGAATACAGGAATTACTAATTTTGTTCAATCTCAATTAATTAATATTTCATTATATTCATATACTACTGAAATTCATTAGCTTCATCGAACCCAACACATCTAATTCAATTAAATGATCAAAATCAAATGATTTCCGTTGCTATTGTCACAGGAAATGTATCCACATATCCAATCGGAAAGGACTAACAATAGGACCGCTCAGAGCTTAATTCAAGGGAATGTTATGTGGAACTGAAAAATCAACAACATTTCGAAGTCCTGGGTCTATGGACAGTAAAGCGATTGTCAAAGTCGTTCATTCAACTACTTAGACATACCATGATGTTTCGTTTTGTAGTATTGCCGTGTATTTGACTTTTCTCACTCTCCACCTTTTATTTCAGAACTTTTACTGAGACCTTACCGCCGGTGACGGATATCCGTAAGATAAGGCGAGGTGTGCATTTTTAAACTCCACCTTTTATAACCCGACCCCACCGTGTGAAAAGGCAGCATCGCTGTTATGCTGGTTGTCTGAAGGAAACACCTTACTGCCGTCACATCTCTGGACAGTCAGTAGTAGGAATTCGCCTTTGGACCTCGGTTTGCTGTTTTTAGTCTTACCGCCCTTCAACGGACCTGTCTAACATGGTCCTAGCGTGGACCTTGAGGAACGATTGTTCCAGCCAGTATAGCTCGATTGGTTAATCATGATGGGTAAGCCCGACCACCACGTCAAGGTAGCAGCAGCTAATCATTTCGGAACATATTCTACTGTAATTCATAAGTTTCGTCGAACCCACCACATCTAATACAATTAAATGATCAAATTCAATTGATTCCCGTTGTTATCGTTAATGGCATTCATTCAACCAATTAGACATACCATAATGTTTCGTTTTATAGTAGTGTCGACTATTTGACTTTTCTCACTCTCCACCTTTTATTTCAGAATTTTTACTGAGTAAATATTTACATCGATTTTTATTCGTTTCATTCAATCAAATACTTTCTTGTAATCCACTACTTAAACTAGCGTTACTGACTAATTGTTTTACTGATATCTACGTTGTGGTTACCGTTCTTGACAGTTTCTTCGTCTGTAACTCGGAATATGAATTATTTTACTCATGTTATTTATTTACTCATGTATATATGAATTCGGAAAGTCGTTTCCAATTTGTTAAAACACGTTTTTCCTGCCTGAATGCATTTATTACTGAAATCATTTTATCAATTTTTCATTTCTACAATCTGGTGTTTTCCATATAATAATACAAAGATTTTTCATTTTGAAATGGAATGAAGTATTAACTTCTTCTGTATGTGCACTGGCAAACGAACCATCCACCACTGTAACATGCCACGCTCTGCCAAATGTTTTATCTAGAAATTCTTTAAGCTTTGTAGCAATCAACAGCTTATTTTCAGATTTATATTCTTGATATAATTTTCTAACTTCATTGGTGACATTGATTTGTTGTGATAACATCATGTCACCAGAAATGTATTCAATATCTGAACCAAGTTTAAACAATGCTGCGTTCTGTTGGATTGTATTTCTTCGTATTATTTCACTATAAAAATACATATTAAAAGTATGGTTCGTATGGATTAAGAGAAGAATACTGATTTATCAACACTAGTCATTTTCCACTAAGGTAGTGTTATTGGAGATAGTGAAATCGGAGTGAAAATACACATCAATGATCACCGCGTAATACACGGTCTACGCCTATTCAAATTCTATCAGGACGTTGTATGAATAAAAATATTAGACTGATCAAAATGAAGAATAGCAACAAATTCTCGCATAGCTAAATTCTTTGCGACTAGTTGTAGAATCCCAATAGTTAACTAACAGTGGATCTGTGTGGAACATCAATTTGTAATTTCAACTTAATAAGCACTTTCGATAAGTATTTCAATTCGGATTAACGATCTGTCCGAAAGAATTTAAATGCTCTCAGCAATGACTGACTTCTCTTCATATCTGTTTTGTCGTTAGGCAAATTGCTCCTTCTCATTGTTCAACAAATCCGAATTGCTAATCCGTAGCATACTTATCGTTGAATAACTTGATTATCGAGCACTAGAAGCATTCCCAAACAATAGAAAACATTTTTCATGCATCTGAACCATGTAACTGCAATATATTTTACACATCCATAATTTAAATTTTGTTTAAACTATCAGGATAATAGTATATTTTGTGAGAGGCTAACGGAGGAGTGCATGACATGCCTTCATCCTACTTGAGTCTCGTCAGTTAAATGCAACACGATCGTAGTGTCGATTTTCTCACTGAGAATCTTATACAATAGCCTTCCTTTCAAGTGTCGAACATGTTATTCATTGAGCTTCTGAGAACAGATGGCTACTAATTTGTTCAATACGTATGGATATATCTCGTTTAGGTCTGTAATTGATTTTCGGTAATGTACAAAAGCTCACTCATTAAGGTGCAGAATAACAATGACGATGAATTATAAACATTTACCAGTATTTATAGGATGAACCACATCAAACAGAAACATGAAACATAAACACATTTATGCTTTCGACCAAGTATATGAGTCGATGAGAGGAAGTGTGATCACATGGTCAGTTAGATTGTTCACAGTTAACTTAATCTGTATGTACGAAAGTAGACACATCTATTCATACGTAGATGACCATTACTCCGTCTCATTCCTACTCTTCCATATTTTCCACAATCAATGTGAACTTGTTATGCTTCATATGGTGTTCATACGTGTGATACTTCTCAGTGTGATGGAATGATACTAGTGGAAAAACGGTCAGATGAATACAATCTAAAATTTACTCTGATAAACAACTATCGATGAAAAGTATCTGGTATAATGACAATATCACTATATTCTATTCTCACTCTAACAGAATAAACCAATAATCAATAACCGTGAGACTATTAAAACTGAAAGTGCAAATATTTAACAAAACTTACTATTGCTCTTTTGCAATACCCAGAACACTTAAAAACCTTTGAAGTGTAATATAATTCGATGTCTCTTCCGAAAATAAATCTAACCATCTCTAAGTATAGAAAAGGAAGGAAATGTAAATTTATTTCCAAATAATCTATCCAACTATATAAAGATAAATTAATTCAATTGGACACTCCGATTTTCAATTCATGTAAATGTTTCTTCGTCCATTTTAATTATTCGGAACCTGATTGTTTTGAGTAGTTTACTCTGAACATGATAATTGACTGAGAACGATTGTTTAATGTTAGCTCATTGATCCATTTGAATCAAATGAGTTGACGTAAGTTTATTAACAATCCCATGTATGCGTTTGCTTAGCCACACTGAATTATGCACATGAATACGGAAGGGTAAATTTCGAAAGTAGCACCTAATGTAACGTTCTCCGGAAAAGTTGTTTAATTGAAATTACCGATACAAGTTGGTGACCAGTGTAATTCAACGTTCATTCTCAGTATCACCGTCGGACGTTTGGAAAGAATTTTCAGTAATTCATCATTGTCAAACGATCGTTGAAATACTCTTCGAAACTTTACACTTGATGATGTACAAATGACAAGTCTAATGATTTGACGAGCTGTTTGTCGGCTACTATCACCTACTAATGAATCATTATTAGGCGTGTAACATTGAGAAACATATCAATCTTAGCTCAAAACTATGAAGAAGAAATACACCTACAACTCATCTAATGACCATCTCCGAGACATTGACGTCATGCCTTCAACCTGCAGCACAGTCATTGATAAGAACACAGTTATTACTTAGTTGAACGGGGGGTCGACAGTAGTTGAGATAATTTGATGGAGTGCATAGTGAAATATATGTAGTTAGGTTCAAATGTGTTACGCAGTGATTTTAATGTTGATTGTGTTAATCTTCAAGATACTGGTACATATGACATTAGTGGAAAAATTACAAACATTAAACATCTTAATTACCAATAGAAATACACATGCACATCCATTCAAATTAGTACATGTTGATAATGCAAACTTACGTTAACCATTTGCTTATCCAGATGATTCTCTATGGTGAATTTCTCTAATTCTTCCTTCGTGATAACGTCATCATAGTTTTTATCGATTTTTGAAAATATTTCAATAAAATTGTCCATTTGTCACCACTGTGTTTTTCAATTATTCACTTTCCTCTTTGCTACCTTTCACAAGACAATTTATGTGAAGTGAATAAACGGTAAAGATCCGATTAGAACCAACAGTAGTGCCTGAAAAGCAATTGTAGAAAATAAGAGAATATATATATATTTATTTATGAGGATTTAATTAAAGTTACTATATTCACAATATAACCTTGAGACCTGTCAGAAATATGCAATAGTACTAATTATCTCGTTTTGTTTATGATGTTACCAAATTAAGATAGTTCATGGTTATTTCCGAGCTAAAAATTTATATTACAGACTGATGAAACATCCTGGTTTTCAATGATTACCTTACCAAAATCAATCCATAATGGAAATTATTTGCGTTATTACCTGTCTGTTCACTGTAGTATAGAAAGACTGCGAACACTTCTAAATGTTTTGTCCACAGTTATGTTTGCGTAAATTCTGAATAATTTCAATTTAAGAAGTATTTGGAAATACGACTTTTAATATATTGTAATTTTTCTTCCATCATGGTTGAGTTAGCCTCACTTCAAACATCCGTGGCAAGATGGAGTGCTGTTTCCATCGTACAAACCACAACATTTTTCATGTAGATCAGAAACAACTACTGAGAATGAAACACTTCCTTCATGATGATTTACGAAGGCGTAAACAACAACTACCGCTTCATTTCATCGTTTGCCTGCAGGAAATTTTATTCAAACAAAGATGGCAAATAGCATAAGATCCAACAAATAGTGGTATTATAACATTTCAAAAATTTTGTGATGTCCTCGGTGAAAAACCGGAACAAGCGTGTTTATTATGTTGAGATTACAGATCAATCACGTCATAACTTACACATTACCGTATACAATTTATTTATTTTGTTGAACTGTCATATTGATGTGTATGTTAGCTTGAAACTGTAACATATGCGTTTGTGTCATGCTCGAAAATTTAAATTTAAAATTTAGAACAGAGGAGCTTTTGTGGAGATTTCAGTATTTTCATAGTTAAAATTATGAGTCAATTGTAGCTGGACCACCCTGGAAAACCTGCAAGTTCTGGATGGCCGTTTCGTTCTATCAAGAGACTCCTCAGCTGTGCGCATCAAATAATAGGATAAAAAGACCGTCCAATGCTTACAGGTTTTCAATGGTGGTCTAGCTTCAATTGAGTTATGATTTCAACTATGAAAATTATAATATTTACTTCAATATACCTCTTTGAATGTTAGTTATTTCTTATTTTAAGCTGAACTGACTATCACGTAATATTTTGTAGTTTATACTTGATTGAAAGTTTTCTGGATGGAATTTCATTAATTCAGTATGAGATCAGTCGGCACATATACATACCATATAATTAATTTCTTATCATCTATCCATCTATCTATCTATCTATCTATGTATATCATTGTAACAGGAGTAGAGTACTAAAATAGTAATATTATTTAATGAGTATGAATCTGTTATCGATTGAACATTCTTTGGAGATCGTGTCAGCTATGCAAATAAAACTTCAATGATGCCAACCATATAGAGATTCATACATAAGGACAGTGATCTAACTTGGTTGTATAATTTAATATGAAAAGTGATGCAATTTAAAAGTACTTGGTGCTCTATCGATTTTTCAAGTCTATGGGTGTTGTTCCATAAGAGGTCACTTTTAATGAAATTTCCTGTGAAATGAGAAATACAAATAATTACAAAAAAAAGAATAAACCGAAATGGAGCCTGACTTGAAATATCGATAGAGCACCAAGTACTTTTAAATTGCATCACTTTTCATATTAAATTATACAACCAAGTTAGATCACTGTCCTTATGTATGAATCTCTATATGGTTGGCATCATTGAAGTTTTATTTGCATAGCTGACACGATCTCCAAAGAATGTTCAATCGATAACAGATTCATACTCATTAAATAATATTACTATTTTAGTACTCTACTCCTGTTACAATGATATACATAGATAGATAGATAGATAGATGGATAGATGATAAGAAATTAATCATATGGTATGTATATGTGCCGACTGATCTCATACTGAATTAATGAAATTCCATCCAGAAAACTTTCAATCAAGTATAAACTACAAAATATTACGTGATAGTCAGTTCAGCTTAAAATAAGAAATAACTAACATTCAAAGAGGTATATTGAAGTAAATATTATAATTTTCATAGTTGAAATCATAACTCAATTGAAGCTAGACCACCATTGAAAACCTGTAAGCATTGGACGGTCTTTTTATCCTATTATTTGATGCGCACAGCTGAGGAGTCTCTTGATAGAACGAAACGGCCATCCAGAACTTGCAGGTTTTCCAGGGTGGTCCAGCTACAATTGACTCATAATTTTAACTATGAAAATACTGAAATCTCCACAAAAGCTCCTCTGTTCTAAATTTTAAATTTAAATTTTCGAGCATGACACAAACGCATATGTTACAGTTTCAAGCTAACATACACATCAATATGACAGTTCAACAAAATAAATAAATTGTATACGGTAATGTGTAAGTTATGACGTGATTGATCTGTAATCTCAACATAATAAACACGCTTGTTCCGGTTTTTCACCGAGGACATCACAAAATTTTTGAAATGTTATAATACCACTATTTGTTGGATCTTATGCTATTTGCCATCTTTGTTTGAATAAAATTTCCTGCAGGCAAACGATGAAATGAAGCGGTAGTTGTTGTTTACGCCTTCGTAAATCATCATGAAGGAAGTGTTTCATTCTCAGTAGTTGTTTCTGATCTACATGAAAAATGTTGTGGTTTGTACGATGGAAACAGCACTCCATCTTGCCACGGATGTTTGAAGTGAGGCTAACTCAACCATGATGGAAGAAAAATTACAATATATTAAAAGTCGTATTTCCAAATACTTCTTAAATTGAAATTATTCAGAATTTACGCAAACATAACTGTGGACAAAACATTTAGAAGTGTTCGCAGTCTTTCTATACTACAGTGAACAGACAGGTAATAACGCAAATAATTTCCATTATGGATTGATTTTGGTAAGGTAATCATTGAAAACCAGGATGTTTCATCAGTCTGTAATATAAATTTTTAGCTCGGAAATAACCATGAACTATCTTAATTTGGTAACATCATAAACAAAACGAGATAATTAGTACTATTGCATATTTCTGACAGGTCTCAAGGTTATATTGTGAATATAGTAACTTTAATTAAATCCTCATAAATAAATATATATATATTCTCTTATTTTCTACAATTGCTTTTCAGGCACTACTGTTGGTTCTAATCGGATCTTTACCGTTTATTCACTTCACATAAATTGTCTTGTGAAAGGTAGCAAAGAGGAAAGTGAATAATTGAAAAACACAGTGGTGACAAATGGACAATTTTATTGAAATATTTTCAAAAATCGATAAAAACTATGATGACGTTATCACGAAGGAAGAATTAGAGAAATTCACCATAGAGAATCATCTGGATAAGCAAATGGTTAACGTAAGTTTGCATTATCAACATGTACTAATTTGAATGGATGTGCATGTGTATTTCTATTGGTAATTAAGATGTTTAATGTTTGTAATTTTTCCACTAATGTCATATGTACCAGTATCTTGAAGATTAACACAATCAACATTAAAATCACTGCGTAACACATTTGAACCTAACTACATATATTTCACTATGCACTCCATCAAATTATCTCAACTACTGTCGACCCCCCATTCAACTAAGTAATAACTGTGTTCTTATCAATGACTGTGCTGCAGGTTGAAGGCATGACGTCAATGTCTCGGAGATGGTCATTAGATGAGTTGTAGGTGTATTTCTTCTTCATAGTTTTGAGCTAAGATTGATATGTTTCTCAATGTTACACGCCTAATAATGATTCATTAGTAGGTGATAGTAGCCGACAAACAGCTCGTCAAATCATTAGACTTGTCATTTGTACATCATCAAGTGTAAAGTTTCGAAGAGTATTTCAACGATCGTTTGACAATGATGAATTACTGAAAATTCTTTCCAAACGTCCGACGGTGATACTGAGAATGAACGTTGAATTACACTGGTCACCAACTTGTATCGGTAATTTCAATTAAACAACTTTTCCGGAGAACGTTACATTAGGTGCTACTTTCGAAATTTACCCTTCCGTATTCATGTGCATAATTCAGTGTGGCTAAGCAAACGCATACATGGGATTGTTAATAAACTTACGTCAACTCATTTGATTCAAATGGATCAATGAGCTAACATTAAACAATCGTTCTCAGTCAATTATCATGTTCAGAGTAAACTACTCAAAACAATCAGGTTCCGAATAATTAAAATGGACGAAGAAACATTTACATGAATTGAAAATCGGAGTGTCCAATTGAATTAATTTATCTTTATATAGTTGGATAGATTATTTGGAAATAAATTTACATTTCCTTCCTTTTCTATACTTAGAGATGGTTAGATTTATTTTCGGAAGAGACATCGAATTATATTACACTTCAAAGGTTTTTAAGTGTTCTGGGTATTGCAAAAGAGCAATAGTAAGTTTTGTTAAATATTTGCACTTTCAGTTTTAATAGTCTCACGGTTATTGATTATTGGTTTATTCTGTTAGAGTGAGAATAGAATATAGTGATATTGTCATTATACCAGATACTTTTCATCGATAGTTGTTTATCAGAGTAAATTTTAGATTGTATTCATCTGACCGTTTTTCCACTAGTATCATTCCATCACACTGAGAAGTATCACACGTATGAACACCATATGAAGCATAACAAGTTCACATTGATTGTGGAAAATATGGAAGAGTAGGAATGAGACGGAGTAATGGTCATCTACGTATGAATAGATGTGTCTACTTTCGTACATACAGATTAAGTTAACTGTGAACAATCTAACTGACCATGTGATCACACTTCCTCTCATCGACTCATATACTTGGTCGAAAGCATAAATGTGTTTATGTTTCATGTTTCTGTTTGATGTGGTTCATCCTATAAATACTGGTAAATGTTTATAATTCATCGTCATTGTTATTCTGCACCTTAATGAGTGAGCTTTTGTACATTACCGAAAATCAATTACAGACCTAAACGAGATATATCCATACGTATTGAACAAATTAGTAGCCATCTGTTCTCAGAAGCTCAATGAATAACATGTTCGACACTTGAAAGGAAGGCTATTGTATAAGATTCTCAGTGAGAAAATCGACACTACGATCGTGTTGCATTTAACTGACGAGACTCAAGTAGGATGAAGGCATGTCATGCACTCCTCCGTTAGCCTCTCACAAAATATACTATTATCCTGATAGTTTAAACAAAATTTAAATTATGGATGTGTAAAATATATTGCAGTTACATGGTTCAGATGCATGAAAAATGTTTTCTATTGTTTGGGAATGCTTCTAGTGCTCGATAATCAAGTTATTCAACGATAAGTATGCTACGGATTAGCAATTCGGATTTGTTGAACAATGAGAAGGAGCAATTTGCCTAACGACAAAACAGATATGAAGAGAAGTCAGTCATTGCTGAGAGCATTTAAATTCTTTCGGACAGATCGTTAATCCGAATTGAAATACTTATCGAAAGTGCTTATTAAGTTGAAATTACAAATTGATGTTCCACACAGATCCACTGTTAGTTAACTATTGGGATTCTACAACTAGTCGCAAAGAATTTAGCTATGCGAGAATTTGTTGCTATTCTTCATTTTGATCAGTCTAATATTTTTATTCATACAACGTCCTGATAGAATTTGAATAGGCGTAGACCGTGTATTACGCGGTGATCATTGATGTGTATTTTCACTCCGATTTCACTATCTCCAATAACACTACCTTAGTGGAAAATGACTAGTGTTGATAAATCAGTATTCTTCTCTTAATCCATACGAACCATACTTTTAATATGTATTTTTATAGTGAAATAATACGAAGAAATACAATCCAACAGAACGCAGCATTGTTTAAACTTGGTTCAGATATTGAATACATTTCTGGTGACATGATGTTATCACAACAAATCAATGTCACCAATGAAGTTAGAAAATTATATCAAGAATATAAATCTGAAAATAAGCTGTTGATTGCTACAAAGCTTAAAGAATTTCTAGATAAAACATTTGGCAGAGCGTGGCATGTTACAGTGGTGGATGGTTCGTTTGCCAGTGCACATACAGAAGAAGTTAATACTTCATTCCATTTCAAAATGAAAAATCTTTGTATTATTATATGGAAAACACCAGATTGTAGAAATGAAAAATTGATAAAATGATTTCAGTAATAAATGCATTCAGGCAGGAAAAACGTGTTTTAACAAATTGGAAACGACTTTCCGAATTCATATATACATGAGTAAATAAATAACATGAGTAAAATAATTCATATTCCGAGTTACAGACGAAGAAACTGTCAAGAACGGTAACCACAACGTAGATATCAGTAAAACAATTAGTCAGTAACGCTAGTTTAAGTAGTGGATTACAAGAAAGTATTTGATTGAATGAAACGAATAAAAATCGATGTAAATATTTACTCAGTAAAAATTCTGAAATAAAAGGTGGAGAGTGAGAAAAGTCAAATAGTCGACACTACTATAAAACGAAACATTATGGTATGTCTAATTGGTTGAATGAATGCCATTAACGATAACAACGGGAATCAATTGAATTTGATCATTTAATTGTATTAGATGTGGTGGGTTCGACGAAACTTATGAATTACAGTAGAATATGTTCCGAAATGATTAGCTGCTGCTACCTTGACGTGGTGGTCGGGCTTACCCATCATGATTAACCAATCGAGCTATACTGGCTGGAACAATCGTTCCTCAAGGTCCACGCTAGGACCATGTTAGACAGGTCCGTTGAAGGGCGGTAAGACTAAAAACAGCAAACCGAGGTCCAAAGGCGAATTCCTACTACTGACTGTCCAGAGATGTGACGGCAGTAAGGTGTTTCCTTCAGACAACCAGCATAACAGCGATGCTGCCTTTTCACACGGTGGGGTCGGGTTATAAAAGGTGGAGTTTAAAAATGCACACCTCGCCTTATCTTACGGATATCCGTCACCGGCGGTAAGGTCTCAGTAAAAGTTCTGAAATAAAAGGTGGAGAGTGAGAAAAGTCAAATACACGGCAATACTACAAAACGAAACATCATGGTATGTCTAAGTAGTTGAATGAACGACTTTGACAATCGCTTTACTGTCCATAGACCCAGGACTTCGAAATGTTGTTGATTTTTCAGTTCCACATAACATTCCCTTGAATTAAGCTCTGAGCGGTCCTATTGTTAGTCCTTTCCGATTGGATATGTGGATACATTTCCTGTGACAATAGCAACGGAAATCATTTGATTTTGATCATTTAATTGAATTAGATGTGTTGGGTTCGATGAAGCTAATGAATTTCAGTAGTATATGAATATAATGAAATATTAATTAATTGAGATTGAACAAAATTAGTAATTCCTGTATTCAATCGATGGACCATATATCTCTCTCTCAGAAATAGTACTCACTGAATTGTCTTACGATCGATTGGAGGAGCTCGTTTATGCATTTAAGAACAACCAATTGATAAAGATAAACCGCATTATCCACAAGATAACTAAACAGTATCCAGTGTGTTACGGATTCCTGGTGAAGTGAATAGTTGAGAAGTTACACATCCGTTTACTTCCAAATTTTCTTAGAACTCCTATGTGATTATCGAATAAGATTTCATTCAGCTTTGTTTTTAATTGACGAATCATCATAATTTAGTGGTGTGATGTCTACGTCATGTGTGTGAGTAATCAAAACTAAACTAATTGAGATTGAACAAAGTTAGTAATTCCTGAATTCAATCGATGCACCATAAATCTTTTTAAAAATCCAGAACAATTTTTATAATCCCTAATTATGTCGAATAATTAATCAAACATATAACCTACCAAAACTCACCTGATACTTTTATCAACACTTCAGTTTCATTGGAACAAAGAAACCGAAGTTGCAATATAGGCTAAATAAATTGAAATCAGCAACATCTGTAATCGATATCATGTGTGTAAACATCACTACACAAAGATATATGTTGATTAATATCCACATGTTATCTTCTCAATGATTCGGTACTGATCAATACACAGACTTCAAAGAAGCACGAGTAGTTACCCACTTATAAATAATAACGTCATTTGATCATGATAAATTATCACAAATATATGAGTTGTGATTTAAATTACTGTTTTCAACATGCACCCGAAAAACCTACTATTTCAGCTCACAAGTAACATATACAAGTGTTTCGACTTAGGGCAATCTAGTGAACAACTGAAATTCTCTGACAATTACTTTCCTTATTAACGTGATCACTAATACCTGGTGAAATGTATGCGAATCAGTGCATGTGTGCTTGAACAACACATGTTCTAACGGGAAAGGTTTTGATACGGTTTCTGATATAAACATTCCATTAACAGGTCTGAATATTTTTCTCAAACAGTGATTTATAAGTGATAGTTGATGAGAACCGACTCTAATTTCTACTGGATCAAGATTAGATGTTCAGTAATATTTGTAAGAGCGCCGTTCTCACTTTTCCCTATCTGTGTTTCAATGCTTTACTCGAAAGCGATTTCTGGACTATCTGTCAACATCAACTGTGATATAGAATACAACTGATCGGATTCGGTTGCTTATATTGTACTTGAAGAAGTGGATGTGAACGCTGACCACTTGTATTTAGTAAGATTTTTGTGATGATGGACATTGATATGATTTTGAACTGATGATGCTCACTGTTACGGATTCATTAGAAACCAATGACTAGTTTTCATAGTTCGACTCTTCCACTATCACTTCAAAGGGAATCAATATATGGTAAAATTGAAATTAGGAAATCTGATTTTTCACTGTTCATTTGAATATCTACAATTTCGTTGATTGCGAATTCGCATACATGGGCAATTCATTAGGAACTCTTTTTGTAAATCTCAAAATATAAATTATCAATGAAGACAAATGTATAGAAATTTGAATAATTAATATATCACTGGGTAAGGTGTTTGCAGTGTTCAAGTGGAAATTTAGTCCTGTGAACTCCATACGGTTGGTTAATCCGTCCAAACATAAGTGAGAGATAATGACAGACGTAAGGTTTGTTTCACGATCCCGTTTAGCGAAATACATATCTAAAATTACTAATGGGATATGAATATGTTTTCCACCCGGTTACACAATAGAAGCTTTCTACTCACTCTTGTTTATCTCACCCAAGTTACCTGGTTTCAGCGCGCATACTAAAACAGCATACACCAGTAGTAGAAACTGACGAACTCAAATTAGGCCAGAACCGAAGATAATTTATTGGTCATATTAAGCAAATTGAATATACACTTTATTTTCAGAAATTATAACAACAGTATCTCATTACTTACTAATGTTATAACTGTGTGAAATAAAACTAAAACCTAATTAAATCCAAAAAATGTTTTCCAAACAACAAAACTGTAATTATTCAAACGAAATTGAAATGAACAATCCTCAAGATGCAAAAATGTAGTTGAATATGATCCTTTGACAATTAGCACAACCCAAGATGAAGAGAAATTTTTATTCATAAACTGCATCATATATTCTGTTAATTTTAATCCATTGAAATCATCTTTATCTGTGATTAGTCTTCTGAACTCATTTGTAATTTTTAATTTCATATCCATCGGCATCTGATCAACGATCACGTGTACATCATTTCCAAGTACCCGTTGATTATCAGTGTAGGATGATAATGATTTTTCGGTTGATTTTAGTTGTGTACCTCTTTGTTGACGGCTGAAACGAATGAGAGGAAAACAATTTTCCTAGAAACGAAGTAGTTCCGTAAAACACAACCAATCTAACAATGGAACAACGTTGTAGATGATTTGTTTCAAACACAGAACGTGCAATTGTAAGCACAATGCGAACTATAATTGATGAAAATGAAATGAATTATGTTCCCTAGAAAGTACTTTGGCTCACCCCAACTGTACAACGGTGGTATGTAGAAGTCAATTACGAAATTTATCTGAAAAACTCTGTTTCATACATTCATGTAACGTCAGATGACCATGCAGACGTATGAAAATGGTTTGTACCGTATTGCTTATTGAATTTTGTATCACTGCTCATTTAGTTCAGACGGACAAGGTCGATATAGACAAGCTTTCACAAATGAGTACACATATTTTACAAATGTAAATGACTGAATTATTTATGAATACAAACAATATGTCAAGTGATATTACAACGACCTATGCTTGAGTCGCCCAGGACAAAGTGGGTTGGAGAAAGCTGGTCGGCGGCCTATGCTCCATTGGGAGTAACAGGCGTAAGTAAGTAAAGTAAGTAAGTATGCTTGAGTCACGTAAGTGTTCGAATCAGTGTTAGTCAACACAAGCTCTTGAATCTATAGATCATTGTAAGTCAGTAACATAATTGTGGATGTGAATGGATGTTCGTTATGATCCAACAATATATGTGGTCATTGCACTTCTAATTTGTTTGTTTACCCAATTCATATTTGAAACTATCTTATTCTGAGTAAACGACGTAGGTGAATAATTTTTCGGGGTAAGATTGTGGTTGGAGGTGGTCAACAGGAAACCCTGCACCCGGTTTTCGTGCGACTTGGCACTCTTCAGCAAGGTGTACCTGTTATCTTGAGTGAAGGGGTGCTCCCTGACGGATTCGATCCCTTGTCACTCAGCTTCACAGTATGAGACGTTACCACTAAGCTATTGGGGTCACGATCGACCTCCTGTAGGACTGAGATGTATTCGCAATTGGTTGATCACTACGTGGTGATCAATGTCATGCGTGTCGAGTCCTTCTTAGTGCTGATCGAATATTATGGAGGTAAAGGTTGGTATTGGTCTTAGTAGTATCCGGCCAATGGATGTTGAGTATTTTGCGTAGACAACTGTTTATAAATACTTGTACCTTCCTGATGATGGTCGTAGTAGTTCTCCACGTTTCAGCTCCATACAGTAGGACTGTCTTGACGTTCGTATTAAAGATTCTGACCTTGAAATTGGTTGAGAGTTGTTTTGTGTTCCCTATGTTCTTCAACTGTAGAAATGCTGCCCTTGCTTTGCCAATCCTCGCATTTACATCTGCATCCGATCCTCCTTGTTTATCAACGATGCTCCCCAGGTACGTGAATGTTTCCACCTCTTCCAGAGTTTCACCATCAAGTGTGATTGGGTTGGTGTTCTCCGTGTTGCATTTGAGAATCTTGCTTTTTCCTTT